ACTCTCTTGTTGTTGAGCTTTCTCCTCCCTTTCCAGCATCTTGTAGGCTGACTTCACAGTGTATTTTCCATTATTGCTTGCTATCCAGTAGCTGCAATCTGTCCTGCCTGCTAAACTTATTGGAATTTTGAGGATTTCTTCAGCATCTTTCCCATTGAATGTACTGAAAATCAAAGGTCTATTCCATCTGAAATTTGTGATCAGCTCTTTCACTTTGTGTAAATTGCAGCTTTGTGGTTTTGGGGTCGTAGGTTTCCCTTCTGTTGTATTTGGGATCCACTGATCTTCCCAGATGTTTGTGCTATTACCGTCCCCTATTTTCCTCCAGATTCCCCTTCCCACTTCATCTCTAACACTTGCCAGGCTTTTCCAAACCCATGAGGCAGTTGGATTCACCTGACACTTGACCCTCCTGTGAACTGTGATTTCTCTTGCGACTTTACTTAAATATTCAACAATTTTCTTTTTATTTGCTCTTATCACCAATATTTGTTGTATATTACATTTTTCCAGGTCAAACTACGAGGAGCAAAATTGCAGCAGGTCGAAATCTAAAATTAAAAACATATTTTCTTTTCCAGTGCTTCTTCAGTCTGTAACTGCTTCACAATTGCAAAAGTCAACACCATCACAACCGAAAAAGTCAATGATCATCACAGCCGGCCACCGAGAAAAAAACTCCAAATTCATCCAGATATGACAAATTAGACTAACATCTACCCAGTTCATGGAGGAAAATCCACAAGTGTTCGCATTGAAGCATAGATCATAGGTAGGCTTGCTCACTATATCGCCGAAATGCAAACAAACATCAAGAATATGAAGTATCAATTGCCGGGTTCCAACTCAGGTTAGAATTTGGGGCGGCAGCAAATTTGGTAGAAGTTCAAGAAAGAAAAGGAAAAAAATGGTTTAAAAAAAAAAAAAAAAGAATGGGTTTAAGTGGGGAATCAGAGGTGGGGCTTCGGAAAAAACATGTAGAAGTTATGGTGGTCACCGGGGCAATGAAGAGGCAGGAGTTGGCGATGATCGAGGACACGGTGGTCATGGTGATGCACAAACCACTCTGTCTTCAATTCTATCCATTTTCACTGTGCATGAAACTATGAGCATATTATATAGATGGTTATTTCAAAACCATAAAGAAGTCATGCAATAATACAAAGATATAACATCTTCTCGTAAGATTGATTATATCTTTCAAGATCAGTTAAAATTATAATATTTACTTAGCTCCATGGTCTTTTGCATATTGATGGCTAGAGGGCACTGCGCCCCCATCTGGTTGGTCAAAGAGCGAACCTGGCCAACTGGTATGGGTAGTGTGGGAACAAGAGGAGGGGAGAAGGGCATAAAACAATAATAAAATATTCTTGTTTTCCATTTTATCCCCAGTAGTATTACACAAAGTGGTTCTCCATAGTTTTTTGCAAAATAACAATAATAATGATAATAAGTTTTGGTGAGAATATTTTTTTCATATTTTTCAACTATTTTTTTACTTTACGTGTATCACATTCTACAAAATGTGATGTAGTAATTTTTCTTCAAAAACTCTCCAAAAAATGCAATCCAAACAGACTTGTATACTTTTGCTGCGCCCAATTCTATGTTCTGTAGCTGGATTTCTTCCGAAATTTGTCCGCCCTTGAAAGTGATTCGACACAGCTTCATAAGATGGGTCTAGTCCTGGGGCTTCATTTGTCACTCTCTACTTTTGCGCTTTCGCTTTGCCAATTTACGGTTTAATGTCTTGCCTTCAAATTTTGTTTTCATAATTTGTCTTGCCTATCAAAATTTACGGTTTAATGTTTTGCCAATCGCTTTGCCTTTTTTTTTTTTTTTTCATCCTTTCCTTTTTGACCTTTTTTGTGTTCCTTTTTTGATTCTTTCTTTTAACTACTTTCAAATCTCTTCACATATCTTACCATAAATCTCGCTCACAAAGGGATAAAAAATAATACACACACACACACACACATATATAATTCACCTAGAAACATTTTATCAATTTTATGATTTGACCCCTAGAGTACTGGAAAACTATTAATACACCTAGAACCATTTTAGAACTTATAGCTATAGCCCTAAATTTTTGTATTACTTTTCAAATAAGCTCTCCAATTTGGTTCTAAACTTGTTGAATATGCATTAAATTATTGTATAAATTCCTACTTAATTATACTATCTTATTTGTATTTTCTTGTAAAGTATCTTAGAAACGTCAAACATACATTGAACCTGTCTTTCTTAGTATTAATATGTTTTTAGAAATTTTACATAATATATTAAATTTTAAAATTAAATATAGGGTAAATTACATTTTACCCCCTATGGTTTGGATTAAAGTGTCAAAGTAACGGAAATAGTCACTCGTAACGGAACTTCTAAAAATGTTGAAATTACTCTTATAAACACATGACACATTAACCCCGTATGATTTTTATATTTTACCATATAACCCCCTTATGATTTAATATTTTACCATATAACCCCCTTATAATTTTCAAAATATACACATAACCCCCCTGGATTAATACATAAATTTCAACTTTACATAAGGGTAATTTTGACATTTTAGGTGACGCCGTTATGAATGATCATTCCCGTCACTTTGACACTTTAATCCAAACCATAAGGGGGTTATGTATAGCTTTTGAAACTATAGGGGGGTTATGTAAAAAAATGCTAAATCACAGGGGAGTAAAGTAGAATTTGCCCCTTAAATATATTGATGAAATCATGATGATATCATTCGATTCTTGGATGTGTTCGACCATCCCCGACCCATGACCTCGACCAAATCGATGGCTGGTATGAGTTTCAAAACATTGCAATCCTGTGTATCCAAATCATCCTTGAAAATACACCTTCAATTATGCTAAGGTTGAAACTCAAGAATTAGAGATCTTGAGTTCTAATTTTCCTACCCCTTTCCTGCTTTTTAAATCTCACATTTCCCTTGTTAGAAAAACTATTAAAAGAAGAACGTTATGCTAATGCATTATAGGTCCTTGTCAACATTTTTCAGAATTGAGAACTGGAATTCACAATCTTTATTCATTAGCATAATCGGTAAGTTGGTACCACTTTAGATGCTTAGCTCTTGAAGTAGCAATTCCAAAAATCTCAGACATATCCAAATCACTTGGTTGAATGTTATCTGCAAGTTCCCAATTCAAACAATGCACCAATTGTGCTAACACAAAACGAACTGGAGTCATCCCCAACTGGATAACTCATTATAGGTAAAGAGTTGAGGTAGAGCTTTACATGAACTCTGGGTGGCAAATATCATTGGTACGTTTGCTTGTGCTCCCTGGATTCAAGATGCTTATTAATTATTTTCTTTGGAAAATTATCGAACACCTTAGACAGAGCTTTCAACCAACGTGCAAATCTCTGAAGATCAAGCACACGAAGCTGGGGAAAGTAATCACAGAGGTTAGCCATTGCTGCAACATGCAATGCTTCTTCAATGACCTCTCTAAACCCCCTATCATCAAAATCAAAATCAAAATCCTTATCCATACACATTTTTCCGAATATCATCAAGCAATTCATGTTTGCACCTAAGGACGAAATGGCTGCACTAAGATTGACAGCAGCACCGTGAAAAGCAGCCTGTTTTAATGATTTCACTAAAATCCCAATCTCTCCTATTCTCATTGGGAGAAACAATTTGATCTTGTAGTTACTTAACAACCTTAAAATGCAAAGCTTACGCATGTTTCGCCAAAATGTACCATTTGGCCAAAAGTCGAGTTTCACAGCTCATGAGCAATGTACCAAGAACCTTCATGATGAGGCCTACTGGCAAAAACTTGATCATAAGTCTTGAGGAACTTCTCAGCTGCCTCAGGGATGAGACAATGATTGCTGGGACATAACCAAATCGCATGCACGTTATAGGACCATGTTTTCTGTCCAATTTTGCCAGATCTTGGTCCGGATTCTTGCCTAACATGTGCAGATGTCCTCTCTTCTTCATCAACAACAAATCTTGAAGCAAATAGCAAATTGCAGCCTAAGGCTAGAGTTTTCCATAGCCAATGAATGCTCATCATCCTTTTCAGTGAGCTAGATTTGGTTTACTAGTTACTACTTTTTCTGAGATAAACGTAAGCCCAGAGCAGATATTTATGAAGTAATTTTTTATAACTCCTATGCATGTAACAATGCAATACGTTATCGCTCTAAGCATTTGTGTATCACGACATCAATACGGCTAACTTCGTTAGGCATCAAGGACAAGAATCATGGCGAGACCAAGAATTTGTCCCACCAAGTTTAAAATGTCATTAGATGGAAACCGCTCTCACAAGTTGAGTTTTGTTCAACTGGTCGATACAATTCTTACAACTTTTGGTGTAAATTTATATGATTTTGATATAAATTTAAATTTATCAAGTAACTAATTTTACACCAATATCATATGAGTTTACACAAAATATAGTAAGAATTATACAAGTAGGATTTGAATTAGACAGAATTTAATTTGTGAACCCGAATGGATCATTAGACAGTCAGTCATACCTATCAAAAACATTAGAAGTGCTTAGCTAAATTTCTCTTGATCTTATCCTAGTTAATATGTGGGAACATTGTTGATTAAAATCAAACAAATGAATACCTTTCCATAATGTCACTCGATAAATAATACAATTAATAAAGAAAAAAATCTACTTAACTACAAAAGTAAAAAATAAAAAAAAATCCACTAAACAATGTATTCATTATAAAAGTAGCAAGGAAAATGAAACAATTGACAAATGCAACATCAAGTTCGGAAACTTCTGTACTATGTCTATTGCTCAAGGAAGAAGCTGCTTCTTCAGATCGAGATGGAAACAGGTAGATAAAAAAGAAAACTAATTGGCAAATATTTTTATCATCAACGAATGGAAAGAGCAACAAGCAGTACGTGCAAGAAGACACTAGAGTCAACACAATCTTCAAGGAACAGACCAGTACACTTCCAGCATTGGAATTGGAGTCCACCGTCTTTATTCATTTGTTCAATCGGTAAGCAGGCACCACCTTTAAATGTTTAGCCCTTGAAGTTACAATACCAAAAGCCTCAGACATATCCAAATCAGTTGGCTGAATGTTATCTGCAAGTTCCCAATTGAAACAATGCACCAACTGTGCTAGCACAAAACGCACAACGGTGAGCCCCAACTGCAAACCTGGGCAAATTCTTCTGCCTGAGCCAAATGGTATAAGTCGGAAATCTTGTCCTCGAAGGTCGATGTTACTATCCCTGAATCTTTCAGGGACGAAGATCTCAGGATCACGCCAGACACTTGGGTCGCGGCCGATTGCATACACGTTTATGATGATTCGCGCTTTTTTCTGAATGTGGAAGTCATCAACTGTGCAATCTTCCATTGACTCGTGGGGGAGCAACAGTGGGGCCACAGGATGAAGCCTCAAGGATTCTTTGATAACCATGTCCAAATATTCTAGGCCTTCAACGTCTGATTCCTCTACAATCCTCTCCAATCCGACTTTTCTTCCAATTCTTTCTGGAGTTTTCTCATTGCCTCAGGATGCCTGAGGAGTTCTGAGATCGCCCATTCAACTGCCGTGACTGAGGTATCCATTGAGGCTACAAGCAAATCCTGTGTAGTTGAGGTACGGAATTGGCAGAGTTAGGCATAATGTCAAGATCAAAATAGGCGTCAAATTTGTCTTCATTTGTTGCAAGGATTGCAATTATTTGATTTAGCTATGAAACAATCCCTTTTTCAACATATAAACAAAGGAGAACCTCAGAAAAGAACGCTGGTATCGTTATGTAGAAAGTAAGAACACAGAATTCCAGATCATGTTTTAAGGTGCAAAGTTTTGTCAACTAACGACAGATTTAGGCCCGTTTGTTTAGGTGTTTGTCAACTAACGCGATGGTATAGTAATGAAAGTTTTATCGTTTGGAAAAAAAAAACGAATGGAAAGAGCAACAAGCAGTACGTGCAAGAAGACACTAGAGTCAACACAATCTTCAAGGAACATTACTTTTACACTTCCAGAATTGGGATTGGAGTCCACAATCTTTATTCATTTGGCTAATCGGTAGGTAGGAATAACCCTTAAATGCGTAGCTCTGGAAGTTACAATACCAAAAGCCTCAGACATATCCAAATCAGTTGGCCGAATGTTATCTGCAAGTTCCCAATTGAAGCAATGCACCAACTGTGCCAGCACAAAACGAACAAGGAGGAGCCCCAACTGCAAACCAGGGCAACTTCTTCTGCCTGAGCCAAATGGTATGAGCCGAAAATCTTGGCCCCGAAGGTCTATATTGCTATCCTTGAATCTTTCAGGGTTGAAGGTCTCAGGATCAGGCCAGACATTTGGATCGCGTCCGATTGTGTATATGTTTATGATGATCCGCGACTTCTTCTGAATGTGGAAGTCATCAACTGTGCAATCTTCCATTGACTCGTGGGGGAGCAACAGTGGGGCCACAGGATGGAGCCTCATGGATTCTTTGATAACCATGTCCAAATATTCTAGGCCTTCAATGTCTGATTCCTCTACAATCCTCTCCAATCCGACTTTTTCTTCCAATTCTTTCTGGAGTTTCCTCATTGCCTCAGGATGCCTGAGGAGTTCTGAGATCGCCCACTCAACTGCCGTGACTGAGGTGTCCATTGAGGCTACAAGCAAATCCTGTGTAGTTGAGGTAAGGAATTGGCAGAGTTAGGCACAATGTCAAGGTCAAAATAGGCGTCAAATTTGTCTTCATTTGTTGCAAGGATTGCAATTATTTGATTTAGCTATGAAACAATCCCTTTCTCAACAGACAAACAAAGGAGAACCTCAGAAAAGAACGCTGGTATTATTTTGAAGAAAGTAAGAGCACAGAATTCCAGATCACGTTTTAAGGTGCAAAGTTTAGTTATTTGAATTTCGTTAGTCCAGAAGTTATAACTGACCGAAAATTTTGTTGAAAAAGCTAAAAACATATTCAGCAAGCAATACAAAAATCTGGTGCTGTCAGCTACGTATATGAACAACAAACCAGCAAACCAGAAAGGTCTAAAACATACCAACAAGATGGCTTTGACATGACGACGGTCGAACTCAAACTCAGCTTCTCCAGATTGCATAATTCCCATCATGATGTCTACAAAGTCCTTGGTTTGCTTGTGCTCCTGAGACTGTAGATGCTCATCAATGATTTTCTCAAAAAATTTGTCAAACACCTTGGCAAGATCTTTAAACCGGCGAGTAAGTCCCTGAAGGTCAAGCACACCGAGTAGAGGAAAGTAGTCACCGAGGTTTGGCATGGCCGCAACATGAAGTCCTTCTTGAATAACATCTCTAAACCCCCTATCATCGAAATCCTTGTCCATATATTTCTTCCCAAATATCATCAAGCAACTCATATTTGCACCCAAGGAAGAAATTGATGCACTAAGGTCAACAGCAGCACCATCTGAGGCAGCCTGTTTGAGTGATTTAACCAATGTTCCAACCTCTTCTCTTCTCATCGGCAGAAATGAGTTGATTTTGTGGCTACTGAGCAGCTGCAGAATGCAAAGCTTACGCATGTTTCGCCAATACGGTCCATATTGGCCGAACGTCAAGTTCCTCTGCTCATAACTAACGTACCAAGAAGATTCATGATAAGGCCTACTAGCAAAAACTTGATCGTAAGTCTTGAGAAACTTTTCAGCTGCTTCAGGGGATGAGACAATGATTGCTGGGACATAACCGAATCGCATGTGCATTATAGGGCCGTGCTTTTTGGCTAGTTTTTCCAAATCTTGGTGAGGATTCTTGCCTAACAGATGCAGATTTCCTATAATAGGAAGCCCTTTTGGACCTGGAGGAAATCTCTTTCTCTTCTTCATCAAGAACAAGTCTTGAAGAAAAAACCAGATTGCAGCCAAGGCTAGAGCTGTCCATAGCCAATGAATGCTCATCATCTTTCTCAGTTTGTTTAATGGTATTCTTGCTCTTCTTTCTGTGATCTAAGAATAGGCCTCAGAGCACGTATTTATGTGTAGCAGTAGTATTGGATAACAGCGTAAAGCGTAATAATTTGACGGTTGTGAATGAAAAGTTGTATTACGTACAGAGTTCACCTACCTACAAGAAGCTGCCTGGAAATTACAGCTGGTCCGTTTGAATTAATTGTTTTTTAGGGTATTACTATAGTAGAGTTTTTAGATTTTATTTTAGAATAATTGTACAAAATATTTTGAAATATTTAAGAATAGTAGAGTTTTTAAAATATATTTTAGGATATTTTTTGAATATTAAAAAAATTTAAACTACTTTTTAAAATATCTTTTAGAATACTATTTAAAAATTTTTATAGTATTTAAATAGCTGAAGGATCCAAACAAAACCAACATTTTTAAGCAGATAGACACGAATAAAGGAATCTCTAGAATCCAGGAGCTGAACTATCTTTTAATAAAAAGAAATTCTTGAAGTTTGATGCTGTACAATTTGAACCGCTACTTATTATAGTAGAATTCACACCACTTCGATTCAATTCACAAATTTGTTAAGTAGGATTGTTGTCACTCAATTCCAAGACCAGGCCACTTGTGTGATATATTGTTGTGCCACATTCCACTGTGATCATATCTTGAAAAATGTCCAAAAACTTGCCGTAAAATTTTTTCCCATTTTTTTCAAATTTTTGTATACTGTTGTCATAGAGGAAAAATGATAATTCTTGCGAGCTGGCCTTATAATGAGTATATGTGAATAAATTGCAGAAAAGCTTGTAGATTTTTCAACTCTAGCCATCAGAACGGAAAGCGGTGACATTGGGAAATGGGTAGGGACGGTCATGATCTGGCCTCAAAATTTGTGCAGCTGAGATTACAAGTTGTAACTCGATTTCCACGCCATGTGTGGGTCTCATAAAAATTTGCTCTAAAGTTATGCGATGTGCAAAAAAAGTTACACGATGTACAAAGAAAGTTACGCGCAGTTAAAAATGATCAAAACTGTCCGGGACGGTTGCACCTGTCCCGAGTCCGTGACATTGTGGCTGATTGCAATCCATCAATTGTCACAATTCTGACGTGTTACATATTTTTTTTTTATTATCGATATGATAATTTCTATTTTATATACAGGAAACGAACGAATATAAAGTGGTCAATGAAGAACCGTAAAGAGATTGAATTGCCACTAGATCAAACGAATGCATTTGAATATGAAACTTTTAAAAAACCGTAAGAAAAATGCAAGTCAGGAAATTTTATCTCTTGACCACACTCAATGTAAGATTTAACTTCTTTCGTGGCGGCTAACTCAACTCAACTTGGCTGAGTTAGTTACATATTACATAGTTTGCCATTTCTCTCATTTTCTATGGATTACGTCATTACATATGTCTCTTCTGATTACAAAGATAAAGAAATCAACCGTGTTTTTTTTTTTTACTTTTTGAGACAAGTAAAGCTGTAATAGTATTCTAATGGTGTTATGGTCAAGGCCACGAACTTGGACATTTGATTTCCTACCTGTAGGATCCGTGAAGCAATTGAAGATGTAATAGTCAATCGCAAGCTAGTCTCCACGGTGATTTCAATTTGATTGAATTCATACTCAGTTTGCTTAGGAATGGAAGAAAAATAAATTGATCTATGATATGACGTAGGTAAAGAAATAAATTCGTACTTTAGTCTAGAAGCTCAAAGAAAAGACCACAACAGTGGGTATGGGGGGGGGGGGGGGTGGAGGAGTTCAAAGAAAATAACACAAATGAAAGGCTTAAACAAGTAATTTTGTGCAACAAATTTATTTTGTCAAGCGACTTGCTAGGGGAGAAGGCCATGGTAAAGAAAGCTCAGGTTCATTGGGCTCTGAAAACTGGGAGTTGGTTACATGAGCCCATTCCCAATGCAGCTCGTTGGGTAAAGTAGAGAATTACAGTGGGTAGGTCTCGGTTTAAGCTGATTATCAAAACCAATCTGGAAACTAATCAGAGTTGTGCAATGAAGGAGTCAGCCCAATTTGGGGACCAGCTTTATGAAATACTTTGGCCGTCGTCAATTTATGCTTATCTCTATTTATACCATATAGAAAGGGGGTGGGGAGGTTTTTGGTGTAAAAAAAAAATCGTCATCTTATGATCTTCATAAATTACTCTTTAAATATGATTATTCATCTATCATATTTATTTTTTGTCTCTTCTACCTACTATCATATTTACCCGTGTCTCTCCTATCCACCACGATCATATCTATTTATAATTATCCATCCACTATCAGATAACAGCCTATTTATATATTTTATTTACAAAGTAATTAAAGCTACAGTTCCCGTCACATTAAGAATGAACTCCAATTTTGCACACCGGATGTGACACCATATTTCATTTCAAAAAATGATGCTTTTTTTTTTTATTACTATGCATCACTGAAATTGGCGCCTCAATCTTT